CCCTGACCAGTATCAACCTCGACTCGAATCATTTGACAGGCAAAGGCATCCTGGCCATCATCAACTCTCTTCAGCACAACAGCACGCTTATGGAGCTGAGGTTTCATAACCAGAGACACATTTGCGGAGGAAAGACTGAAATGGAGATGGCCAAAGTCTTACGTTACAACTCTTCACTGCTGAAGCTGGGATATCACTTTGAGCTGGCTGGGCCCAGGATGGCCATGACGAACATCTTGAGCCGAAACATGGACAGGAAGAGGCAGCAACGACTAGAAGCGCAAAAACTCGCCAGACAGGAGATCGCCTCCACCCCATGTGAAGATAAGAGCTCACCTGAGAAGAATAAGCTAACAACATCGCCCATCAACACTCAAAAGAAAGACTCTAAATTTGCTGCCCATTCAAAATTCACTTGTGCTCAGGAAACTCCCAAAGCTCCGCCCACAAAGCTACTGTCTAGACGCCTCCCATCTGAGGTAACAGGAAAGAAAGAAGGGGCAACAGGAAGTCGACAAGCTCCTCCTCCACCACCCCCTCCCGGCCCAGCGTTAGATGTTCAGGCCCTGAGGAGGTCGCTGACCCCGATCTCTCAGAGGAAGCCAGACAGCAGTGCAGCTGTCCAACAGACGGACAGGAGCTCCAGAGATCAGCTGCTGGACTCTATCAGAAACAGCAACATGAACGCTCTCAAAAAGGTGACACGGACATCACATGTCATTGATGTTACTACACATGCCAGTACATGACTATACATCACCATCTTAATAAGAAAATGTGGAGGCTTCTTTCTACAGCATTATATTCTTAAAATATTTTAATGCAAGTTAAAGCACTTTTGTAATTTTTGGCCCTCTAGCAGTTTGCAACTGTTAAAAAAAATCCTCTCCTGTGGCCTCATGGGATAGTAAAAGTAAAGTGTCCATTGGATGCACACTTTAGAATCGCGCCGGAAGTAGTAGATCACATGGGTACTTTTTGCATTCTGAATTCTACAAATTTGGACATACTACTCTTTTCACATACTGTTTTTCACATACTATATAGGCTATAGTAGGGAAGTAGCCTATGTGATTTCGGATGCAGCCTTGGTCTCATTGTGTGTACTTGTGAGTGAAAATATTCTTCACTTATATATACCTCATCAGTAAGTTTTGTATTAAAATTTATTCTAAACTTACAAAGAATATAGAAACACCTGAACATATGAAAAAATAGTCTTGGTGGCTCTACAATCACTTTAAGATTGTATGCAGGTTATGCAGAGGTTATGCAGAAAATGCAGATATGTATGTACAGCTGGCTGAGTTTGTAATTTGAATGTGTAAAAAGCTGTTTATTGTGTTTAAAGTAGTTTGAAGATGGCACACTTGCACTTGGTATCACTCGAGAGCCCTCTTTAGAGAGAATTCACTGAGACTGACTAAAGGCTGTAAAGGAAAGCCCTTATATGGAGATGTTTTTAATGCAAATTACTAACCTCGGGCACACTGTCGCTCATTTACAATATTTCAAATTCATTTAAAAGCAAATTATTGTGGATACATGTTGTGATTTAGGAAGATATTTTAAGTGAGAAGTCCTCCTGTGTGTATAAATATTAATAATCCACACAATTATTATTGATGAGACCCATTGTTTTAATTTTGCTTTGGATCTGCTTCTCTACATGGATGAATGTGGGATGAGGCACATGGATACAGAACATCTTATCAAAGCTGATGACCAAAAAAAAATGTTTGTGTGTTGTTCTTTTTACGAATGGTTATTCCCCAGAGATTTGCTGTTTTGAATAATCCATGGACAATTTTTCTTGTTCATTGTGGCAACAAACTTTCAGCATCATGCTATCCACAGCCAGAGCTGCTTTTCTCTGTGTACAGATATGAAGTGACACGACGCATATATGCAATTTCCCTCTAAATCTGCCTCAACAGCTCTAAAATATATTTAATATTATAATTAAAAATACAAATGATCAATTTGGGTACAGTAAAGAGATGCTTTAAAAAATAGATTTTTACACTCATTAATCAAAAAAGTTATGTAATGTTGTAGCATATAATATTATAAATACTTAATCTTCTTTTCAATCTTCTTCCCAGGTTGAGATCCCTAAGCGGTTGAGATAGTATCTGTCCAGTGTACGTGCTTCTACCTTCAGATTCCCCTGCAGTCCTCCAGTGCCCCGTCATCATGGAGGAGTCACTGAATCCTCAAATTGAGATTCCTCCTTAACTGGCTCAGACACTCCGAAATACAGCCAGTTTGGATTATTTGATATCTAAACATTTGAGGTGGGACACTTCCAGGACTGACGGCTATGCAGTCAACAGTCAAGCTTTGAGGGGCATCTGTTGGTGTTTAAGGATCCTCAGAGAATGATTTGTCAAATAAATTAGATACATTTTGACCATTTGTTCTCAACTTGTGGCATACTTACAACATTCTTAAATACTAATATATAATAGTCATAAGTACTAATCATTACTCTGTCTAGAATGCAGTATGCTAAATAAACCTCTTAAATATTCTTAAAAAAGCCCCAAGTAGTGATCTTCCTTCATGGTATGTGTTTGTTAAATAGCAGGACCTTCTACATGAGATCTATAAACTATTCTGATTATGTATGTGGTATTGTGTTCAATTTCATGTTCAATCTGTTTATGGCCATGGATTTTTCATCTGTTAGTTTTTAGTTTGAGCCTCTGTATTACATTATATTCACAACTGTTAATTTTTTTTATATATAATTATAAAATCATTATTTTGTTCATCATGGTTTCATTACAAACATTCTTAAATACTAATATATAATAGTCATAAGTACTAATCATTACTCTGTCTAGAATGCAGTATGCTAAATAAACCTCTTAAATATTCTTAAAAAAGCCCCAAGTAGTGATCTTCCTTCATGGTATGTGTTTGTTAAATAGCAGGACCTTCTACATGAGATCTATAAACTATTCTGATTATGTATGTGGTATTGTGTTCAATTTCATGTTCAATCTGTTTATGGCCATGGATTTTTCATATGTTAGTTTTTAGTTTGAGCCTCTGTATTACATTATATTCACAACTGTTAATTTTTTTTTAATATAATTATAAAATCATTATTTTGTTCATCATGGTTTCATTACAAATGCTATGTTCATCAAACAACCCTCCATTTGTATCAATGACAGCTGTGCACACAATATACATTCTAGTATTGAGTGTATTAAAACTCAGTTACCGCATTAAACGTAAATATTAATTTATTTAAAACCATAAATCGATGATAGTGTACAGTACAAGGAGGAACATTAGAACAATTAGAACAACCCACTCCCTCTCACATCTGCAAACATTACCACATCCATGGGCAGCATTTATTTATATAGAACTAATATATAATTTAGATATCACTTGAGAAGTATTGCATTAGCAAATATGACCTATACCTGAGATCTCTGGATATGTAATCTTACCCGATGTGGATTAGACGTTTTGTCTGTATTGCATTGGACTTTATGAAGCATTGCATTGCATTGGATTTTTTGAATTTTAGCTGGATGACAAATTGGTGAATTAACCTCCACCAATGATTCCTGGTATTGATTAAGTGTGATTTTTAAAAAGGGAACAGAGGATCAAAGGGTCAAACTATCAACTTTGAACTATTTTCTTGTTTTCCCTGCAATGAATGTAATTAAAATGTGAAGTGTAAGTTTATTTTGTGGATAAAGAAGACATACCTAACTGTTGTCTCTGTACCACAGTATCATTTCATAACAGGAGCAATTCATGTATCGCACCTACAGGTGGCGGAGGGATCAAAAATACCCAAATGCAAAGCAGACACTAGATGAAATGTAGACTACCATTTTTCAAAGTAATTCATGTTCATTTCTCTGTAGGAGAAAATTGAAGACATGGTCTGACTACATGTCTATTGCAGTAGAGCAAAAAATAGCTGCAACGAAGAAAAATCAGCACATATACATTTACATTTACATTTAGCAGACGCTTTTATCCAAAGCGACTTACAAATGAGGACAATAAAAGCAGTCAAAACTAACAAAAGAGCAACAATATATAAGTGCAAATGACAAGTCTCGGTTAGCCTAACGCAGTACACATAGCAAGGTGTATACAGTGGGTACGGAAAGTATTCAGACCCCCTTACATTTTTCACTCTTTGTTATATTGCAGCCATTTGCTAAAATCATTTAAGTTAATTTTTTTTCCTCATTAATGTACACACAGCACCCCATATTGACAGAAAAACACAGAATTGTTGACATTTTTGACACACACACACACACACACACACACACACACAAACACACACACACAAAGAAAAACAAGTAGAATAGAAAAAAATAGAAAGCTAGTGTTAAAAAAAACAAAAACATATAGAAGCATAATTTACAGCAGAGCAATTAAATTTTAAAGTGACGTGACATGTGGCCAAGTATGGTGACCCATACTTGGAATTAGTGCTCTGTATTTAACCCATCCAAATTACACACACACACAGCAGTGAACACACACACACCGTGAACACACACCCAGAGTAAATGACTTACTAAATATATTTTAGCGCAGATAGATGTTTCACAGCCCCTGTTTTTATTGGAAGAAGAAAACAGAAGTTATATTAATAGCTGAAAGACTGTTTCCCTCTTTTGTCTTTCACAGTTTTGTTAACAACACTAACTTGCATATTCGAATATGTACTTGCAAATGCATCAGTGACAAAAAGTGTCAACTCCACTGCTGATCAACTTCATTTCCTTCCTGAACCGAAGACTATGTGTTTGCCCTTGCAGCAATGCCAGTCCCACTGCTCATTGCTCATTGGTCATTGGTTCCTTCTTTTGTAGGTTAGTCTCTCTCTCTCTCTCTCCCTCTCTCTCTCTTTCTCTTTCTCTCTCTCTCAAAAGCATTGTTCTTCTAGTAACTGATGGAACAAACAAGTGAGAGACAGTATACAGATTTTATCGTGTTATCATTGTGATTTTATGCTGCATTTGTTATAAAGAGGATATCTTGCTTAAAGAGGATGTGATAAATTAGGGAGAATGAAAGTCCATCTAAAGATTCTCTCTGTTTTTGTAGGTAAATACTTTTTTCCTGCTTGATATATAATCATTCATCTTGTACTGCAGTCGTGTGCATGTTAAAACAGAAAATGCATGAACTTTGTGACCTTTCAAGTGAAATATCCTAATGATAAATATTAAGTTAAATAAGTGTTTTACAAACAAACTTCTGTAATAAATCCACTTTTTTCAGTATAAAATGATCTTTCCTGAATTATGTGAGCACTTCAGAAAGAATTTAAGACTAATTTCTACTAAATATTGTAGAAACTTAATTTGCTGTAAAGTTGCTTTGCAACGATTTGTATCGTGAAAAGCGCTATACAAATAAACTTGAACTGAATTGAATTGAATTGAAAGACAGTCTCTTTGGTTATTAGAGATTGTTTTAAACTAATCTCATTACAGGCTATCAATGTAAATGTGAGTGTATCTCAACTGTTTCAGTTGTAGTTGTCTGACGACCATCTGTATACTGTGTCTGTATGAAGTAATGACATTTTTAATTGTGTTTTCTCTAGTTTTGACCGGTGTGTTGATGAAGTCTGGAAATGTTTATGAGGGAACAGTGGGTGAACCGGTGGAGATCAGATGTCCATATCTAGATGACTATAAATATACACCCAAGTACTTTTGCCGTCATCCTTGTAAATCTGATCATGTTTTGATTAAAAGTGCAAAGTCTGATCAGGTCAGCTCAAATGGAAGATACTCTTTGATTGATATTGTGAGTGGACTGTTCTTTACTGTAACCATCAAACATCTTAGACTCACAGACTCTGGTGTTTATTACTGTGGAATTGATAAATGGTTCAGTGATACACTGAATAAAGTTCATCTGTTTGTCCGTCCAGGTGGGTATTTATGCAAACAGTTTGTGAATAACATAACATATACATGTATCTTCCCATTTAAATATTTCACAAAAATGTTAAATTCCTCTTTTTCTGTTTTATTCTCAGCAGCTCCTGTGAGCAGATCTACACACACCCCTGAAAACACACAAAAAACATATATATGGACAACAACACTCACCTCTACAGGTACATCCAGTCAGCAAATTAATGATCAGTTTTACAACAATACTTATAATTTAGGAAAATGTATTCAATTTAGTTAGGCCTACTTGTGGGAAACATTTAGGAAATTTTGTATTTATAAATCATATGTGATTCTCTCTTTTTCTCTCAGTCTCTCTTTCAGATGAATCTGATTCATATGCGCAGTTCTCGCCAACATCACCAACAGTCCAGTCAAAGGAATCTACACCACTGGATAACAACTCTGGTAGCAAAGTTTTGTTTTTTTTGCATGTATTTTAAGATGACAATTATAATTTGTTTGCAACATTGTATAACATACATATTAGAATATTTAATAATTCTTCTTTTGTCTTTTTATCTCAGTCAGCATACCTGTGGTTTGTGCAGGTGTTCTGGTGCTGCTGGTGTTCGGGGTTCTTGTGGCGTTAGCGTCTCTCTGCAGGAAAAGATCAGATTTAAAGTCCAGATGTAAGACCACACACACCCAATAATGAGTTGATAGTTTCATGAAAGACTATCCAATATTACAAATAATAATAATAAGTGATCAAAAAAAGCCCCATTGCGTCAGTTTTAAAAATCAAATAGAGAACATGTGTGACTGATGGATATTTAGCCATGAGATCATGTCTTATTTTCTTTAGATCACTATTGCAGTTTAAGTCACTGTGACTGGTTTCTACAGTATCATCATGTTTATGGTCATTTTTCAGGTCTGAAACCACCTGTCCCTGAAAATCCAGTTCAAGATTCACCAGATCTCAACTGGGTATGAAAACATCTGCACTTTATACATAATTTTACCCTAAAGTATCAGCATATATGATTTCAAACTGTATGAACTGATCAACATTATATACATGAATACATTTGCTTTGTTGTAGTAAAGCTTGTTGTTTAATATGATTATGGCAAATATGTTGGATGTACACTGAATTTACTTTTGGTATGTCAAGCCTAATGTCTCTTTCTCTTTCATCAGGTCTCTCAGACTGTACATGCAGATGATGTTCATCACCTCTATGATGAAATTGTGACTGAGTACAGCCTGGCTGGCCCAGCTAGAGATGGCAATTCTTCTATAATATGTTCCACCGTGCAGCATTGTGATCCTGCACCTCAGAATGATATGAACACTTTGTATTCACTTATCACACACCACTGAGGATAAATGACTGTCAGTGTCATTCTCTCCTCAAAAATGTCACTCTTAAAACCCTGTTGACATGAAATGGTGCATGTGGTCAGCATGCTAAAAAAAAAAACTGCAAACATCCTGTTGTTAACGCATGGGCCAGGCTGTGCGTGCAGCATTGTGATCCTGCACCTCAGAATGATATGAACACTTTGTATTCACTTATCACACACCACTGAGGATAAATGACTGTCAGTGTCATTCTCTCCTCAAAAATGTCACTCTTAAAACCCTGTTGACATGAAATGGTGCATGTGGTCAGCATGCTAAAAAAAAAAACTGCAAACATCCTGTTGTTAACGCACGGGCCAGGCTGTGAAAAAAAAATATATATATATATATTTAAATATATTGTTTGCGTATTTGTTTAACAGACTTAGTTGAAGATGGGATTACATTTTAGAAATCCATAGTAAATCCACTTTTTTCTTATCACTTTTTCGCATTTTAGCCATATGGTGTGTATTATAAGACTTCCTTTTGTCCAAGCATCTCTTATATTAAAACTTGTTTTTTTTCTGTCTTATTTTTTTCTGAAAAGAGTCAATCACAGATTCTAAAAAGATGAAAGAATGGCTCCATGCTAATAACTCAGTCTGCAATAAAAAAAAATCTGTTCGAACCAAAAGCTGTGTGTAAAACCAGTCTGAAAAACTATGTATGTCATTTGTTGCTTTGACACAGGAAGGTTTTTAGGAAGACACAATAATATGATTTAAGTTGAAAATGCAGTATACAGTTGAAGCCAAAGTCAATAAAAAATAATTTAGCCAAACAATGCTGATGTCAACAAAGTAAAAGAAGTGTTGGGTGTTAGTAGGACTAGTCTGAGTTGAATTAGTGTGTTGTTTTCTTGAACACACGGAAATAGCGTAGGTGTTGCAATACTGAGGCTGTTCCTCTTCACAGGGTTTCATTAACCGCATCTCTGGAAGAAGCTGCAATTAATCTCAGAACACACTGCACTTTTAAGTCTTTGTTTGTGTTGATTTCAAAAATGTATACTGAGCAATATTATGTTTGACTGCATCTGGTTATTGCTTGAAAAGTGAGCAGAAATATCAATTTCTGTAAGAATTTTCATATTTTACTTAGTGTCACTCTCTCTTGCCTCTAACATACAGTTTACTTTTTATAAAAGAGATTTAAAGTTCTAATTCTTTAGGTTGTACCACTTTAACTGCTTAACTGTCATTGGTTTAGAAGTCTCTCTCTTTCTCTCTCTCTCTCTCTCTCTCTCTCTCAGAAATAAGTTTATCTGCCATCTGCAGAGTGACAAACAGTAAGCAGAAAACTTTTACTGAGCATCACAGTTTATTGTTTGTTTTAATGTTTCTTTATAAATCCTATACGGATGTTTTAAGACGGAGATGATATCAGGGAGAATGAAAACTCTTATGAAGATTCTGTGTCTTTTCATAGGTAACATTTTTTATTTTTACATTTCTTTACATTTTCCATTCATTTCCATAATATTTTCTGTTTGATAGACATATACCAAACTTCGAATATATTAGATTTATTTGGCATAACAATATGATGATCTATAAGTTATATTTAGAAATGTACAGATGAGCATCCCGTTAATCAATATAAGCATAATGCAACTGCGTTTGAAGATTTTTTGAGAACTTCTTTGCATTTAGTTGTCTGATGATTGTTTCTATTTTTGAAATTTTAATGGGTCAAAATGTAGGCTATAAAGAATGATTTTTCTGTAAGTGTCTGTTTAACCCAACTGAAAAACTGACTGTGTTTTCTCTAGTTTTGACCGGTGTGTTGATGAAGTCTGGAAATGTTTATGAGGGAACAGTGGGTGAAACGGTGGAGATCAGATGTCCATATCTAGATGACTATAAATATACACCCAAGTACTTTTGCCGTCATCCCTGTAAATCTGATCGTGTTTTGATTAAAAGTGCAACGTCTGATCAGGTCAGCTCAAATGGAAGATACTCTTTGATTGATATTGTGAGTGGACTGTTCTTTACTGTAACCATCAAACATCTCAGACTCACAGACTCTGGTGTTTATTACTGTGGAATTGATAAATGGTTCAGTGATACACTGAATAAAGTTCATCTGTTTGTCCGTCCAGGTGGGTATTTATGCAAACAGTTTGTGAATAACATAACATATACATGTATCTTCCCATTTAAATATTTCACAAAAATGTTAAATTCCTCTTTTTCTGTTTTATTCTCAGCAGCGAGCTGTGAGCAGATCTACACACACCCCTGAAAACACACAAAAAACAGGTACATCCAGTCAGCAAATGAATGATCAGTTTTACAACAATACTTATAATTTAGGAAAATGTATTCAATTTAGTTAGGCCTACTTGTGGGAAACATTTAGGAAATTTTGTATTTATAAATCATATGTGATTCTCTCTTTTTCTCTCAGTCTCTCTTTCAGATGAATCTGATTCATATGAGCAGTTCTCGACAACATCATCTACACACACTGCTGAAAACACACATATAACATATATATGCACAACAACACTCACCTCTACAGGTACAAGTTCATCCATTCAGCAAATACCATCAACAGTCCATTCGCCAGGTTCCACTCCTCCAGTCAACAGCACTGGTAACTCTTCTTTTTTTGATACCTGTTCGTTTATGTTACTGTTACTGAATTCTTACAATAACAGTAATTAGTCATTTATTTATTTTTATTTATTGTACATTCGCTTATTTTATCACTGCACTCACACTGCAGCAACTGAAATACTGTAGTAATTATATGATCTTGTTCTTTTTATTCCAGTTGATGTCACTGTGGTTTGTGCAGGTGTTTTGTCATTCCTGGTTTTCTGTATCCTTGTGGCTTTAGTGGTTATTTACAGGAGAAGATCAGACGCAAAGTCCAGATGTAAGATTACAAACACAAATTAAGACTTTAACTGCATAATGTATTGGTTTAACAACCCCCAAAAAAGAGTTGATAGTAATTAACTACTTGTTTAAAACCTAACAAATAAAAAAAAAAAGTGATTTAAAAAGCATTTTTATAACATGTTTCCATGATGCTTCCAAACGTCATTCTTTAATACTGTCTCATATTCCATAGGATTTTATATAATTCATTCTGACCTTTTAATGATAAATGAAATCTAACATTATTTCTATTATTCATATTTCTATTATTCACATGTTGATGCTATGAAACCTCACACCACTGAAGATATAGCTCAAGATCCACCAGACTTCAACCAGGTATGAAAACCTCTCTGTGTGGCAGCAAGAAAAAATTTGCACCAAACAAATTTATCTGATAAATGTATCAAAAGGGAAAAAAAGATCATCATTGCATGCATGTACATTTGAGTTTTTTAGCTTTGAATGTTTTGTGAAGTTAAATATCTTGAAAATGCACTCAGTATTGAATCTTTGCTGTATGAACTCCTCGTTTTCTTTTTCTCTCTGTCAGGCTGTGGAAGATGGCTGTTACCTCTGTGAAGAAACAATGGTAGTGTATAGTTTGGATGATCCACCTAAAGAAGACCAGTTTTTCTCTAATCCATTCAACTGTATATTACTGTGATCGCATGACTCAGAAACAAAGTCATTCTGGAAAATACAGTTTCTGTAATAAGTCAATAAAAAAGTAAATAGTTTGCAGAGTATCTTTAGCCATCCATCAGTCTGATGACCAAATGAACATCAGTTCACCATTTCCTGGGTGGCAGATCAGTTGCTCTGCTGCATTTAATTTTGACTGTTGCAGAGCATTTGTGGTGTATGTGGTCAAAGAATAGAACATTTTGCAAATGTTTGTGTCTGTCAGTAGCAAACAAAATAAGGAACTGTCACTTACCGTTGACCTATAAACATCTGTGTAGTCGCTCATAGCCTAATTTACTGTGGTCAAATATTATAGCCTATGTTGAATATTTATGAGCACTAAATTGACAGTTTGGTGATAAAGCTTTTCATTTCCTTGGCAGAACAAAGTCAAAGTTTATCTCATAGCTGAAGGGTTCTCAAACCTTTTAACTAGGGTGACCATACGTGCCATTTTCCCAGGACACGTTCTGGCCAGGATTTCTATATTTCCTAAAATATCTAGGTTTTGGCTTTGTTTGTGTGTGCAGACCGATCGGTGTATGACATCAAAGTACCATACAGACGGTTATGCTTTCGAAACGCTCTCGAGGTACTTTGATGTCAAAGACTGATCGGTCTGAGCCGCACTGCTTTTAAGTCGAACACACCTAATATGTACGCGTAATTGCATCGCTTTGACCGTAGATCCCACCTTCTCACACGCCATGATTGGTCCATTATGTACAATGCTTGCATGTTATTGGTCAAACTACTTTTCGATCATTACCTTCAGCAAGCATGAAAACAAAGCCAAAACAAATCCTGGCCAGGACGCGTCCTGGGAAAATGGCACGTATGGTCACCCTATTTTAACCATATCACTTTTCCACTTGTTCAAAATTAATAAACAAGGATTCTTTTTAAATGACTTTATAGCCTATCTATTGCACTCACAAAAACAATTTATAGAAGATTACATATTTTAGAATTATTTATCATAAATAAATTAAAGTACTTTCCATTGATGATGTCTCTTTAACCCGTTCGTGACTGTAAAGTGTGTCAGGACAGCCTTCCGCGCGCTGCAGTGACGTTTGCATCCGCGAGAGTGACCGGAGTCTGAGCGCGCGGCGGAGCGGCGGGACACGGTGAGTGAACTGTTAACGAATTCCCGAACCACCGCGACCTGGCACGGCCATTCACAGTTACATTCACCAGCTCGCGTACTAAACAGCGAGTTCCTGGTTTGGGAGGAAGGTCGCTCAACAAAATCTTGCTTAAGGAACATGCTAACGTGCTAGCGCGAGCTAATGAGGCGCAGGCCAGGTGACTGAGCAGAGTTAACCCGCTCAGCAGCGCTAACTGCCTGTTGGAGTTCACACGAAACGCCGGTGCGTTTACAGGCCATGGTCTCTGCAGTGAGCAGACAAAAAAAAAAAAAAAAAAACATTTGTCCGCATGTTAACGGTGAAATATTTGACGTGTGCGTTGAATGGGAGTACTATGTGCTGGTTAATAATTTAAACTCTTGAGTGTTTATATTTAAACTGCGTTTTGATGCACATATGAACTCTCAGTGTCCACACTGGCATACAGTCTCACTCGACAAGTGACCAAAATGACATTACACTACAGCTGTTAGTGTAGACTAGAGGAAGGTTTCGGGCAGACTGGATCCTGCAGCTGTAGAGGAGATGCGGTCTTGTGTCATGTTATGATTACAGTATTGGTGACACTTTAATGTTATTTAACCGTCAACCGTCTAGTGGAGACATTGGACATCTGTACACCTGTTGCAGTTTTATCTGTATTTGTGATGTTTGGTTTAATCTGATAATATTTAAAGGTGTAAACAGGGAATAAGTCAAAAAAGACTAATAGATTAATATCACTGGTCTGGAGAATGGCAAACTGGTGAAATAGCTTATAGTGATTGACATTTATACCTTCATTTGGACCTGTTTGAATTTACGCAGGGCTTTTTTTTTTTCATTTTCTAGAAATGTATAAGTTAATCACAATCAGTGGTGGAAAGAGTACTGAAAAAATATACTCAAGTAAAAGTACCATTACCTTCCAAAAAATGTAGTGTGAGTAGAGTAAAACTACTTGTCCAAAAAAACTACTTGAGTAAGAGTAAAAGAGTAGCCTATTTAAAAGTACTCATGAGTATTGAGTAGTGAGTACTGAGCTGTGGATTCTACCCCCTCATAATAAACGCTGTACACCGCAATTGATACATTTTAAAAACGTTGTACATTCTGTAATTCACATTATCTTATTTGTCATAAAGAATGAAGAGTATCTATCATCCAGCAGTTTTAATTTTGACTGCCAACTCTTTAAAATACATCAAAACAGCACAGAAACAGTATTCAGTTGAAGAAAAGATGAAAGTTATTCTCAGTACAATCATCCCCATTTAAATCATAAAGTTTGAAAAAAATATATTTAAAATCATGTGTAAGGCCACTGACACAGCATATGCTGTTGTTGCACATAAAATATTAATATTTAGAACAGTGCAAATACAAACACCATTAGAAACTCATAGTTCAGCATCACACACCATGATATGGGTTAAAATGAGAGCCCATTTCTCTCCAAAACGGTGCCAGTTTTAGCGTTTTGCAATAAAGAAATAAAAATAACTAAACTTGATAATTTATGTTACAATTTTAACATAAATGCACATTGTTCTAGAAGGATGGCAAATTCATGCCATATCTTTTACACATTTACTCGAATTGTTATGCTGATAATACAATTTGTAAGGAAAAATGCATTAAATAGCGAGGTATTTCTGGGGAAACTTTTTCAAAGGAAAACACACACACACACACACACACACGCATACCTCTTTGCTGAGCCGCGGCGGTCTCGGTGAATCAGCAGCATCCACAACTGAACGGAACAAAAAGTGTTGAACTTGAAAATTGTTTATGCGCGAGTGCACTTGCTAAATGAAGGCGGATTGTATAAAATTGATTTAAAAAAAAAACGTTTATTAACGAGCTGCAGTTTTATCACATCACGCGCTGGGCACAGATGCGGTATATTAACGCCACGGGTCATCAATAAGGTGCAGATTTGGTCCTCAATTTGTGTTTCCAACACACTTTTTCACAGCGCGCATCATGCGCTCAAACTCATCAAAAGTCAACAAGTTCAACAAGCAACAACTACTTATCCAAGTGACTGCTGCAGAACGCACGCGAGAGAGAGACGAGGCAGCGCAGATCGCGCGTCTCATAAGTGAGTGGGAATTTACCGAACGTGGCACTTGCGAGAGTTAACACTGTACAAATCATTTAGTAAGCAGAAATCCGAAATTTACCTTAACATATTAAGTTAGAGGAAGATGCAACAGAATTGATGCTTGAATAATGCGCTTCCAGCAGCCATGATAAACAGTTGGCGGTTAAAGTTGTCTATGCACAATTTAATTTGACAAAAGTCACGAGACCTATTACTCTCTATCCAATCACGTTGATGGATAAAAATCAAATTAAAATAAGCATGTAACGACTAACGACCACAAACGGAGGAAAATTGCGGAATAAAAGTACCGATACATCACTTAAAATGTACTCAAGAAAAAGTAAAAGTACACAATTTTTAAACTACTCAAAAAAAGTACAATTACTGATAAAAACTACTTAATTACTGTAACGTGAGTATTTGTAATTCGTTACTTCACACCCATGGGTAGGACACACCAATTTTCAATATCAAGCAGCAAAAGCAGCGGTTTTGTACAGCTAAAAATAGCTGGACGCGGAAGAGACCGGAAGCTAGACCCATAGAATTTACAAATGGCCGCACCCATTTTTACAGCAAGAAAAAGGTGGATAAGAAAAAAATTTAAATGGCAGATCATTTGCATGTTAAAAATATAATATACAAGCCTATATATTTTGTTTGTCCACTTAACTATTTTGAATACACTACAGTTTGGGGTTGCTTTTGCTCACCAAGACTACAGTAAAAAATACAGTAAAAATAGTAGTATTGTGAAATATTAATATAATTTAAAATAACTTTTCTATTTATTTATTGCTTTACCCCCCCCCCCAGATTTCTGCCAGAATGATGAACAAAATCTCAGGGAGCGTAAATTAAAACTTCAGAAGTGTAAATGAAAACTCTGGAAGCGCATTTGTAAGTACAGATCAGCGAAAGAAAGAGTAGAAAAGTGTTAGCAAAACATGCAGTGTATTAAAAATGAAGTCAAATATTTTGCCTGCGATTTATTTTTCAGTTTCAAAGACATTTTATTCAGTTTCACTTTATATTTTCATAAGTTTCTTGAAAAGTTACATACATTTTTATTGGCACAAAAGTAATTCCATAGGACAGAATGACAAGGTAGTTGACTAGTGGAAGGTTTTGATGTGTATGGGACTGTAGTAAAGTCACCAAGAAATCATGATGATTTTTAGGGAATATTTGTTTTTCATAAATGATAATTGCATGGATTGTGCACTCAACATTTCTTCTCTGATGCTGGATGGAACAATCATTCCGCTCCTCCAGTGACGTGTCACTCACATGCAATCTCAGCAATTACAGTAGCAAAGAATTCCTGATGGACAAAATCAACTAATGCCTTATATTTTCCTCATTCAAGAAGCCGTTTTTTATCTGATATGCATCACAATAGAAGATAAATGCTTTCATAATTTTCATTTAATGCTGACTTTAACTTTCCTCAGTGTTCAGAATGTTTTAATTGAGCCTCTTTTTCTAGATTTAATTGCTTCAGGCTGAATGAACTGGTGCATTAGCATAGCATCAGTTGGATCTCCTGCAAGCAGTAGATAAGCTTTTGTTTGGTCATTTTGAATGCATTTGCATCCTTGATCACAGTGGAATTTAAAGTGCACTCTGAATGATCTCAAATAGCCCTGTAAAACATTTGCTGGGAGTGTGCATAGCTGTAATGACAGTGCTTTAAAAGAAATGTTTAAATAAGCAATTTATCAAAGAGTTCTTTTACCATGCAAACTTTATAACTAAAGCATGCTATTTAAACATGGCATGAAATGGAAGTTGTGGTTGTCTTTTCTTTAGTATTGTGAGGGTGGCGCTTGATGTGTTCCATCTGGAAATTGTTGGTACACATGTGATCAGAGAAAATAATTTTGGTTTCATGGTGAATTCAGAGCAACACTAAAAAAAAATCTAGATTTAAAATAATGTAGGCAACAGGGCGCTGTATGACTTCATACCTAGTAAGCCATGAAAATCTTTATAAAATAGTGGTATAAATATGGTTGACATTTATGGTTTTGGAAACTTCAGTGTGCTAACCACGTCCTAAGAAAACCAAAAGCCTGTTGAGAGCTTCAAACCTTGCACTGATGAATGATAAGTGTGTGTATGTGCTGTGATTGAATCTAACAGGCCTCAGCAGAGAGACCCACCATGCGTGAATATAAGCTTGTGGTCCTGGGCTCTGGAGGCGTGGGGAAGTCTGCACTGGTAACTTCAGCATTATTAAAGTCTACACATTACTGTATTATAAATGGGCATTGTATACAGTATCTGAATGTATCTGTAGTGTTTTTCTCTCTAGTCTGTATTTATTCAGGATTTATTTGGAATGATTGAGATTCTGGTCTTTTACAGACAGTTCAGTTTGTACAGGGAATATTTGTTGAAAAATATGATCCCACAATAGAAGACTCGTATAGAAAGGTAAGTAAACCATTTTGGTATAGCTGAATAATACTCCATATAGGATTATATGCTAATGCAGTACTGACACCCTCTCTCTGTTTTTTTTTTTTTAGCAAGTTGAGGTTGATGGGCAGCAATGTATGCTAGAGATCCTGGATACTGCAGGCACAGTGAGTTTAATATGATGCATGAACTCATCTGGCCAATTAGTTAATTAGTCTTCCATGTGAACTCAATAGATTATTGATTGTTTGCCTACAGGAGCAGTTCACAGCGATGAGGGACCTGTACATGAAGAATGGGCAGGGTTTCGCTCTGGTTTACTCCATTACAGCACAGTCCACCTTCAATGACCTGCAGGACCTACGAGAGCAGATTCTGAGAGTGAAGGACACCGAGGATGTGAGTCACTTAATAATAATTCATTAACAGTATTATTATTAGTGACAAATCATTATTGTTCATAACAATAAATTATTATTTTGTAAAAAAAAATTATCATGAACTGATGTCAGCCATAGCAAGTTCTAACCAGCAAAGGCAAAACAAATTTTACTGAGACAAGAGCTTTGAGACATGCATGAAATTTGCAGAAGCTGTATTCACATTTTGGCACACCACACTACTTTACCAGAGCCCCCACATTTTGTATTTACAGCTCTTGCTCATCAGGGATTGCAATTTCAGTTCTCTGTATGCATATACACTACTGTTGAAATGTTTGGGGGTGGGTACGATTTTTTATTTTTTTTGAAGGAAGTCTCTTACGCTCACCAAGACTGCATTTATTTTAGCAAAAGTACAGTAAAACAGTAATATTGTGACATGTTATTTCAATTTAAAAGAACTGTTTTCTATTGTAATATAGGCCTATTTAAAAATTTTATTTAGTCCTATGATAGCAAAGCTGAATTTTCAGCAGTCATTACTCCACTCTTCAGTATCACGTGATCCTTCAGAAATCAGTCTAATATGTTGGTGATCAAGAAACATTTCTTGTTAATATCAGTGTTGAAACAGTTGTGCTACTTAATTTTTATTATGAAAATTGTGTTGCAGTTTTGTTTCAAGATCCTTTGAATAGAAAGTTTCAAAGAACAGCTTTTATTTGAAATGGAAATCTTTTGTAGCATTATAAACATGCCACTTCTGAACAATTTAATGCATCCTTGCTAAATAAAATCATTAATTTCTTTTTTTTTAAATTGCATTGACCCCAATGATTTGAACAGTACTGTGTATATGAATCTACGTTACATGAGCACGGGACATGTTTTGTGCCTCTAAATAAGACACTGATCTTTTAAAAATCAATCAAACTAAAATCAAAACCATGTTTCTTTAAACTGTCAGTGATTGTGGTTAGGGCTGGGCGATATAGCAAAAAAATGTATCAACGATATTATGTTTCATATCGTTCGGTATCGATAATTATTGAAATTTTTTATAACCTTTTTTAAAACAAAAAGCAATAGAATTAAAAAAAAAAAAATGTAACCACTGTATTTATAATTAACACAATTTATTGAGACAACAAATATTTTTAGTTTTAACAAACACAATAAAAATTAAACATCGAATTTCTAATGTTTTATATGCAGATTAAATAGGTCTTTATTGTATAGGTCTAATTGTCTCCCAAGGCCACAGGAGGGCGCAATGAGTAAAATAATGCAGCACATTTAAATTGTCAACGCAAGGAAGTAACTATACATTACGCATTACGTCTAAATTAACTCATAAAAATCAAATATAGTTTCGTAAATTGCGTAAACAATTATGAACAAAACAGCATCATGTATTTATGCATTGCTTAATCCAAAGAGCCGAAGCGCCATTCACACAGACTGCATTTAAAAACATATGAGACGCAGTGAAAAGGAATAAACCTCCACAAATTCGTGACGTGTTTTCTAAAAGTTTAAACTGTTTTAACTATGCATGGCTTTCTATACATCTCTTCTGTGAGACGCGAGTGCAGCAGTCATATCTGTCCGTCTAAAAAATGCGCTGAATATGCGTTGTGTGTGAATGGCATACCCAGCTAACAAAAAAAGGTCCCCAGGACGTCCCCTACAGCGGCGCGTCTCGTGGGCTAGACTAACAAAACATTAAAATGCAACAACGTCACTTACATCATCACCACATCTCACGCGCCACTGATGACGCTCCCTGATGCACACCTAACATTCAAATGCAAATGTTTATTTTAAATTCGACTAATATTCATTCTTTATTCACAATCTCCTTATCACAGGCAGGCACAGCACTCATTTCAGCATGTGTTCGTGTTTGTGTGCTGTCTGCGTCACTCATAGTACGTGCCTATATCATACGCTATATTGAAATTTTTTTTCTATTGATATCGAAGAGGGTGTACCGTCGATAAATAACAATACTGTTTTATCGCCCAGGCCTAATTGTGGTTTCCCATTTAAGCCAGATGCAAACAAGTACACACACTCATCTTGTGTCTCTCTCTGCTCTATAGGTGCCAATGATCTTGGTTGGAAATAAGTGTGATTTAGAGGATGAGAGGGTGGTTGGGAAGGAGCAGGGTCAGAATCTTGCTCGTCAGTGGAGTAATTGTGCCTTTCTAGAATCTTCTGCCAAATCAAAGATCAACGTCAACGAGGTGAGTCACAGTTAAAAAAAAATGTGCATGCACCAGGTCACATACGTACCGTCCTCTAATAAAAGTCCTTTTTGTTTTTGTGTGTGTATATCAGATCTTTTATGACCTGGTAAGACAGATAAACAGAAAGACGCCGGTGGAGAAGAAGAGAGCGAAAAAGAAGTCAAACTGCATCCTGCTGTAACACAACTGCATCACTGCAGCAGCTCTGAGCCAGGTAGACAATCAGAAGTTCATTAGGAATCAGTACATGCACTATTAAGAACTCCTTTCATCCATGATCAATGATAAAGATTTCATCCTGTGTTTTTTGCATCAGTGATGTCTACTAGGGATGCACAAAATACTGGTTATTGAATGATAAATGCTTGATTAAATGGTTAAAAGATTTTTTCGTAATTAGGAGGATGTTTTAAGCTATGAATATTGCAGGATGTTTTAATGTTACGGAGCAGTGTTAATTTCGATGACGAATAATTTTCGTCAACAACATTTTTTTCACCGACAATGAGACTATAACGAACTAAAACTCTTTTTGAATGACAAAAACTGTGACGTAAATCTATTGACATTTTCGTCAACGCATAAAAACGAGACGAAAATGTTAGCGGGGGACGATTTGGGAAGAGATTAATTCAGAACAAATCTGCTGCGTGGTTTGGAGGTTAGTTAGATGCGTACATATGAACCTGCGGGACATAAGCTAACATACACTTTGCTGCACGTCTCATAAAACGTTCAAAAATGTCAATATGTGGGAGTAAGAGAAGAGCAGACATATAGATAATTCTGACGACGCAAGAGAGAACTCAATTCGGTCCGGTTTTCAGAAAGCGCAGACACTGAAGCATACACACACAGAAAGCGAGTACTCTTTCATGTCGCATGAACGGAGAATTACACAATGATGTCGAATTGTCCGTTTTGACGAGTATTCACGTAAACACAGTTGATTACGTCTTAAGTGAACGTAAACAGTAGGGAGAACGTGTATCAGTACATTTCATCCATTGCAGCTGTGCATTCGGTTTTAAAGGGATAGCAGCCTAATTTAGTTGCTATTGTCCGAGTCACTGATGTTAATCAAGCAACAAAAGAAACACAGAAAATCATGCACTGCTCTTGCCTGAAAAACTTTAGTAGCCCGAAAGATTAATCTAAATGTATTTATAGAAATAAATATGTCTGCTTGAAAGAATGAAGAATATGGTAAACAAGTTGCTATAAAGAATGCATAATTAGCCTATATAACCATTAATATTTCATTAAAAGGAAGACCATGTTCTTGTTCTTTATGAGAAGTGGTTTTATTTAATTTTAACATAAAGGCATGTTGTGTGTCACCGCAGTTAAATCGGTGTCTGTCATGATAAAACCTTAATATCAAACCTATATAATGAGTTTGGGAATTTGAGGGAAATGCTTAATAAATGCACTATAACTAAACCCATTAGATTTTAGCCGACTAAATTTACTGTAGATTTAGTCGACTAAAACTAGACTAAAACTAAAAACAATTCAGATGACTAAAATATGACAAACTAAATGGCATTTTAGTCAAAAGATTGACTAAAACTAAATCAAAATTTGCTGTCAAAATTAACAATTTTACGGAGACCACGTATGTTAAAAGATCAGTGAAAATTTGATTTCTCATGTCATGACCCATTTAATATCAGTGGATCTTTAATATCTGTGGAGATACCTGGAGTAAGCTATCGATAAGCATTCCCATTCATCTTATTGGCATTATTTATATCTTGCTGCACCATTAAAAAAACAGCACCACTTGCTGGAGCTTCAGCATTGTTGCATTTAGTGCAAGACTTGTATGTCCTGTGATTCAGATTCTAAACCAACATTTTGGTTTAGCAGCTCTGCGAAGGGGTTACTTGAGATGGATGACATGATTTTTCCCCCCTCTCATTCTTTTTAGATTGCCGAAATGAAGAACTGTTGCCCAGCTGGCCAACATTCCGGTTCCTTTCTACAGTTATTGGCCAAACAATAAGGCAGAACACCAGACTCCTCAACTAAAACACAGACTTGACAGAAAAAGAGAGATGCAGCCTCTGTCTTTTCTTCCAGAACAGTCTTGAAAATGTTCTCCCCCCCCCCCCCCCCTTTGTTTACTGTTTT